TGACAACAACAAAAAAACTTTCCACAAAAAAAAGTATATAATTTTTGATAAATTGTTTCCGTAAACTATTCTTTTGGTTGACAAAGTTACAAACCACGTAAAATAACCAAAAAAAAAAAATCATTTTATAAATCAAAAAAACACAAAAAAAGAATTTTGACAATGAAATCCACCATTCTGTAAACGTTTTCGCAAAAGTCTTTTCTTCAATAAGCCTCGATGTTTAGTTTTTAACGAACGAACGACGAACGACGAAGAAAAATTTCAACAGCAAAAATAATAATACCCCTGTGTGTGTGTAAATAGTGGAAAAGTAAAAAAAAATGGAAGAATAACGATCGAAATTCTTTCAGAAGAAAACAGAGAATGTTAAAGACAAGAGGATTAAATTTCATTCATCATTTCTTTCTCTCTCTGCTGTCTTTCATTCAGTAAGTAAGTAATGTTTTTGGGTAAATTCTGTGAAAAAAAAACATTGTAAAATTATAAATGATTTTCTGAAAACAAACAAACAATGTCAAACAATTGATGATAGCCAAAAATAATAATGAAAAAAAATCGGTCAAGAAGAAAATCCTGTTTGGAAAGAAGAAAAGAAAAGATTTTGATTCTTGATTTAAGTGAAAAAAATTTTTGGAAAAAAAATCATAAAAATCATCAGTAAACATCAGAATCCTAGAATAAAATTCAATCATTAATCAATTTAACAAAACAGAGGGAAAAAAACAAAAACAACAGAATTTGAGAAAAACAAAAGCAAAATTCTTGATTCTGGATTCTTGATTTTTGAAGAAGAAAAAAAAATTCATTGAATAAACAGAGAATAAAAGGCGAATTCTATTCATTCGTTGATCAAGGTTTAATTCTTGAATCGATTGAGAAACCTTGAAATAAATTGAACGAAACGAGAGAAAACAAAAAAACCATTTTAAAACGAACGAGAATTCTGTCTTTGCCAAAAAAAAATCGACAAAATGATTGACGTATTTTGTTGTTTTGTTTGTTTGGCTGTTCTGTTGTTGTTTGGTGGTGGTCTGCATTGGTCAGTTTTGGATCAAACAAGAATTTTCTTTCTACTAGTTTTCCTTTCCTTTCCATTTTTTCAATCGGGTTGATTGCCTTGGCAAATAAATAATTCATTCAGGGATTGGCTGGCTGGTTGGTTGGCTGAATGTTTTTTTAATTGGGGTTAACGAAGAAAATGAAGAAGAAGAAGAAGGAAGAATGGGAGAAAAAAAAACGAAAAAAGAGATATCATTCAGTTGGGTGGAGTACCACCACCTGAAATGAAGATAAATAGATCAAACATCGATCAATTTGCAATAATGATGATGATGATGATGATCACGATAACGATTCAAGGCGAAACGAAAAAAACGACAACAGCAGACTTTCTAAATGAATGAAATGAAACGATTTTTTTGTATTTTTGTGAAGGGATTTTGCTTTTGTTTTGGTTTTTTTAAATAGGAAATCTAAAGATAGAATTATCAGAGGAAAAAAAACTTACCGTTCAGAAGAGAGAGAGAGAGAGAGAGAGAGAGAGAGAGAGAGAGAGAGAGAGAG